ACAGTCGTGCAAAGTCTTATTATGGCCATCAATCAAATGCCACTAGTTTTATTTCCACCTTAATATTTATTTTTTTTCCAGATAATACAAAAAATTATTAATATTAAATTAAATCAAATTACGACAAAAAAAAAATCAATAAACAAAATAAAATTAAGAGAGAAGTGGAGATCCGAGAGACCCAAAGTACCTAATTTTAAAGTTGGGCTTTACATTAAAAAAAGTATTCTCAAGCAATACCATATAATACGATAACATTATATGAATACAATATAGATGATGTATAAGTTAAACTAACGCAAAAGTATATGGTTTGTATAAAATTTCGTATTTACCTAAAATCGATCTTCTTTCTAATCATCCTAATCACATTAAAATTCATATAATTCCTACTTTTTTTTATAACCAATAGATTAAATAGACATTCGATCCACCTAATTTTCCACATCCGGAATTAGCCGTTATCAAAAATAAAATTTTATTTATCTAAACACTCTTTTTCACGTTTGAATTCGAATTGATAAAAACATATTTTTGCATGCTCTGTTATTATCAAACCACCAAAACTTGGGTTTTAATTCCTGTCTCTACAATACAATAAAGAAAAAAATATGGATTTTTTCTTGATTTATTTAAAAACATGATTTTTTTAAATAGCATTTCTTACATGTTAACACAAATGATGGCCGTGTGTGATGTTTGGTTAATTTATTAAAACAGTTTATATTTTTAAAAATAATTTACAATTTCAAATTTTATTGATAGAATAACCAATAGTGTATTTTTCTCTAGATTTTAAATTTTTTTATAATATTTTCCATGTAGCAAACTAAAAAATAGCTTAGAACGTAGAATAGGTCGGTACCCTAAATCTTGGATGATAAAGGCAGGGTATAATGGTAACTATCACTTGAAAATTTCCGATGGTGAATCTTTATAACATATTAACATAAACACTTGATAATTATGTATGTGTTTGCCTAATCACATAACAGATAGTTGTTACCCTAACCAATTATCTAAAATATTATATAAACAAAAATATAAATTAATACATCTCTGTACTTTTTAAATAAATGAAAAATAGATTAATGTATCTAATTAAATAAATTCTAAGAGAAAAATATTAGGTAGTCGAATTAAAATAGCAGAAACAAATATGAGCGTGCTTCCTCACGAGTTCGATCCGGGCTATGTTCTGACCGTATTTCCTATTTAAGAATAGCTACAAATTTGGAGGACTAAATTGTTCAATACAAAAGTCTAGAGTAGATTCGAAATAATGTGATAACTATGAGGGCATTCGTGCTAATTTATGAGAAGTCGTCGAACAACCACGTGGGTCCCGCGTCATGGGAAAAAAATCTGGGCCCGCGCGTGAATAATAGGCTTACCGAGAAACGCGGCGAAACGGATAAGGGTGGGCCCTAATCACCGTGTCGACCACGTGCCTAATTGACCCAAGGCCCGTATTCATCCATAACCCCTCAATCTAAACATGATTATCAGATAAATAAGAAGAATTTTCTAAAAAATCTTTAGTTCTATTTTTCTATATCAATATATAAAAAATTGTTTTAAGCAATGATATTATTTTTTTCCTACTGTTGACTCGAGTATTAAATTTGTTGTTGATTTATATTTGAAATTAAATTTGATTTAGATATCCAATTAAAATATTATAAATATATAAAATAATGGTAAAAATAAATGTTTTTAACATACATTGAAAAATAAATAAAATTAGAATTTTCATTTTATATAAATCAAATTTAATGTTTAATATTTTTTTTTTAATTTTAACAGATATTGAAAAATAATTCAAATTAAAATTTTGATAAATTTTAATTTTATACATTTTATTAAAAATTAAATATTTTATTTATAAAGATTGTAGAATTATTACATTTGGTTTAAAAATAATTATATATAATTATTTTAGATTGAATTTGATAAAAAAAAATGTTTCTCCTAATATGGTTGACCTTATTTTTTCATGTTAAAAAAAGCTGACGTCATTTAAAATAAAATCCAAATGTTAATTCAACTTAATTGTGGCGTGAAGGGATATAGGTAATTACGCAATTGTCATCACATTTATTCAAGTTTCTATATCAAAATATCGTAGCAGGAAAGGGTACTTTCGTAAACTATAATGTAGGACTGAAGTCGTTAAGGCATGATGTTTTGATGCTTATCCATTTTGTAGGCTTTGAAGAAGCTTGAGATAAAAATAAAAATAAAGTAAAAAATAACATAGGTTGACATTTTAATATTTCCGTTTAAAATTTCCACATAATAATTCATTATTTAATATTATTTTAATGGGAAAATAGATAAAATTGTGGTTTAGAAGGTTTTATTCTTTGAATGTTATTAAATAAATAATACAAATTACGAATATACTTTCTTTTATATAAAATATTATTATTACAAGGTACAAGACGAACAAACACTCATGTCACTTTTTTTATTCAGCCAATTGAATTGTTGATTCCCTTTCTTTCATACATAAACACGTTTTTTCTATTTATTTTTATTTTTAATATTTAATTTTAAAATGAATTTATAATTGGCGTGAGTTTGGTATTACGAAAATAGTAATAACTTTTCATGAAATTCCAAAAATAATAAGTCTTAATACAAATTCATCAAATAAATAAATAAATATTATAAAATGGGAATGTCTGCGATCATGCCATGTAGATTATTTTACATTAAAACATCATATTTTTTTAACCAAATAATGTTCCAAAGTGTTGATTGGACGGAATTTGATATATATTAACGAAGATATATCCAAAAACAATATAATACATCCGAAATTAATATTTTATTTTAAACATTTAAATATCTTAATTGTGATATATCAGATGTTTTTTTTTAAAAATTTACATCTAATTGATAAAATAACATTCATTAAACAAACACAAAACTCTAAAACCATGTTCTTCATATATATAATAGAAGTATTTTTTTTTCCATTTTAACTGCCATTAATTGAGGATGTTTTAGCACTTATCATCTATGGCATGTCTTGATATTTGACATTATTTAATATGTGCTAGCAGCCTCTGACCAAGAATTTTGATTAAATTATATAAATAAATAATTTTTGCATTAAGTGATAGTATGATTGGGAAAGGATAAGCATAGAGACAAATTCTATTTGGAGAGGATAATGTTATTTATTAATAGTTATATAACCTTTGGTTTCACCAACTCATCACATTGCCGTCCGGATTAGCCTTCCCTTCCACTCTGTAATCTCCTTTTTTTTTTCCAAACAATATTAATTACATTATCGTAATTGTAATCTAAATAAAGATATACTTATAAATTTAAATATTTTTAGTAGGATGTCCATTCATCAATAATCAAAATTATTAATGACTCTTATTATGTATATGTAATTTAAACTTTGATCGTCACAATTCGTTTGCATTAAAATCTCTTAATCTCATCTTTTTTTATTAATGATATGGTTTTTACTAGTTATATTAATAAATTAATCTACAAAAAGAATTGTTTTATGTTAAATAGAACAAATAAAGGGATAGAAGCATAACTTTTTTTAATTGAAAAATGATAATTTTCCAATTTCCAAAAAACCTATTGGATAAAAAACGTGGATATATTTCATGGGGAAAAAATAGTGCAAATTGATTGGGTTTGGTCGGATCGCACAAAAACCAAGATTTAAAAGATAATGTCATTAAAAAATTAACGTTCGTCCAATGTTATACAATCACAAATAAACTAATCTAAGTACATATTTAATATTGCATCATGGGGTTATTTGTCTTTTACTTCGACCAACTTTTTTGTTAATAATTTGAGTATTATTAATTTTCCCGTTTATGATTTAGTTTCTTTTTTCATTGGATTATTTTTTTTGTCATCGAATACAGAAATATCCATTAAAAACGACGAAAACATGTAATAAAAAAAATTAAAGTAAATATTGAAATAAGATTTTTTATAACACTAAATTTGTTAAGATTAATCTTAATTATTTAACACAACCGTACTAGAATTAACGCTAAATTTATGAAGGTTAGTTTAAATTAATTAAAACTAATCTCAATTCTATATTTATTTTTAATAAAACAAAGTTAATACATATATACATGTAGATATGACATCTATGAATTCATTGGATAAATGTATGCTGAAAAATCGTTATATTTTAAATTTGATGCCCGAAATATGATAATGAGATATAAAATCATAGAAGAAGGATAAATTAATTTAAAATATTTAACTGCATATTGTATATGGAGTGAGTGCAATAATTGCACCTACAAAATGTATTGGATACCATCATAATCACAAAAATCCCGAGTTACAAAATCCCACTCCCATCCCCCGTATACATTAATATAATTCAGCTACCAAAATAAAAAATAAAAAAAACATGAAAGAACCCATATGATCTTATCTTTTCATTTTAATTGTATAATATAAATGCCAAAATTTCATTTTATAAAACTCTGATGCAATTTTTTTGTACGTTACATAATATTTTCATTGGTTAACATAATCGGTAAATTTATTTTGGTAGTTATACACTAAGAAAATTTCCGCTGTCATAAAAATTAACAATCGATGTATATATGATATAATATTAATTGGAAAATATTTTAAATGACATGACTGAGTGGAAATGCAAAAGTAAACTGAGAAAAAGAAAACAAATTGGTAAATCGAAGTCTGACCCAAAAATAAATAAATAAAAAAGAAAACAAAATAAGTGTGATAGTTCAGTATTGAATTCGGTATATAGTATGTATGTATAGTTTCGTGTCTATCCATCTCTCTCTCTCTCTCTCTCTCTCTCTCTCTCTCTCTCTCTCTCTTCCGTGGATTTCGATAACATTTGAACGCCGGTCACGGTGGAGCTGCGGCCGAGAAGAACTCTGTTGGAAGATCAGCGTCGGAGATTCCTCGCGTCTTGGTGCACACCTTCGACTTTTCTTTTGTGAAAAGATTATGCTTCTCTCTCCCTCTCTCTCTCTCTCTCTCTCTCTCTCTCTCTCTCTCTCTCTCTCTCTTCCGTGGATTTCGATAACATTTGAACGCCGGTCACGGTGGAGCTGCGGCCGAGAAGAACTCTGTTGGAAGATCAGCGTCGGAGATTCCTCGCGTCTTGGTGCACACCTTCGACTTTTCTTTTGTGAAAAGATTATGCTTCTTTACACCTTTTCTGTGCGGTCTGCCTTCGAATTTGAGTCGCTTTAGGTCTTATTTTCGATGAATCTGCCGATTTTATGTTTCGTTTCGGGGTAAAATCCCTAGGGATATGGGATTTCTGGTCAAATCAAAGGATTGGATTTCTCAAATTTGCTGGATTTCGGTTTTTTTTTTTTTGGCCTGATGAACCGTTCGGTGAGTTTTTGTTATGTGGGAATGAAAAAAAAAATCTTTGATGCGTCAAATAAAATTGTCAAGTGATTTTATCTACAGAACTTTTTTCGGATCCGTAGTTTTTTTTATATGGTCGTGGATCGAACTATTTTGTCGGGATTTGAAATTCAATTATCATCAGTCAAATTTAGTACATGAAGAATGGGGGCTCACTATTTTTCCTCGTCGATTTCAAATTTAATGAGTATTATAGAATTGGGTGCATTAGCTGTATGTTCTTGGTGATTTGGTTACTGGTTAATCATCTGTTAGCTGAGATATTCCTTTGTCGTGGTTTGAAAAGTTTAGTCCTTTGAGTTTGACTAATAAGATTGTCTGAAAATTTTACCCAAAAAAATGATTGTCTGAAATTATTCAACGTTGAATTCAACCCAGTTGAGATCTGGAGATTTTTAACGTCATGTGATCCTTGTCCCTGAATTTGATTCTTTGTTATGCTCTGTTCACTACGTATATCATGAATTAGCTGCATTCCGCTTTATTTCCTTCTGTAGTTTTCTTCACAGTACTTTGTTCACCTGCTTGTGTTTCTTTGCATGTTCGAAATCTATGGACTTGTGCTTGTAGAAGTTTCACCAATTTGATTGATGTTTTACTTCAACGCCTCCAAGCTAGTTCCTTTCTCTCCCTGTATCTTTGGACTTGTGCTCGTAGAAGTTTCGCCAAATGGATTGATATCTCATTTTCTTGTATATAGACTGATTAATTCCATTGATGAGCTGCAGCCATGCTCCATGTTTTGTTGCAAATGCTAATGAAATGGACCTTTTTAAAATTTTTTTTAGGCATGAACCATTTTGGCTCGGGAGCTTTTTTGGGATTTGAAAGTGTGTGCCTTTGTGGTTCTTTTCTCCAGTAATGGGTTCAAAATCGTACGGAAATCTTTTCGATTTGGCTTCCGGTGATCTTTTGGATATTCCTCAGACACCGAGAGCTCTTCCAAGAGTGATGACTGTTCCCGGAATCATCTCTGATGTGGATGAATATGGCGTCAATGCTGGTGATTCAGACATCAGTTCATTGCGTCCACGTGAGCGGAAGATCATAGTAGCTAACTTTCTTCCTCTGAATGCAAAAAGGGATTTGGAAACTGGAAAGTGGGGATTCAGCCCAGACAAAGATTCTATCTTGCTGCATCTCAAGGATGGCTTTTCTTCTGCCACAGAAGTCATATATGTTGGATCACTTAAGGTTGATGTAGATGTTAGCGAGCAAGATGAAGTTTCCCAGAAACTTCTAGAGGAATTCAACTGCATACCGACATTTCTGCCACAAGACGTGCAGAAAAAATTCTACCTTGGCTTCTGTAAACAGCATATGTGGCCGCTGTTCCATTACATGCTACCCATGTGCCCCGATCATGGTGATCGTTTCGATCGTGCTCTTTGGCAGGCATATGTTTCTGCCAACAAAATATTCGCAGACAAGGTGATGGGAGTGATTACTCAGGAGGAAGATTATGTCTGGATTCATGACTATCATCTAATGGTTCTCCCAACGTTTCTGAGGAAGCGTTTTCACAGGGTTAAGCTTGGTTTCTTCCTCCACAGTCCATTTCCTTCGTCAGAAATTTATCGAACCTTGCCTGTTCGAGAGGAAATACTTAGGGGACTCTTAAATTGCGATCTTATTGGTTTTCACACCTTTGATTATGCACGCCATTTCTTATCGTGTTGCTGTAGAATGCTTGGATTGGGCTATGAATCTAAGAGAGGACATATTGCTGTTGACTACCTAGGCCGTACAGTTTATCTTAAGATTCTTCCTGTCGGTATCCACATGGGTAGGCTGGAATCGGTTCTGAATCTTCCATCTACTGCTGAAAAAATGAAAGAGATCCAACAGAAGTATCGAGGTAAAAAGGTAATTCTTGGTGTCGATGACATGGACATATTTAAAGGTATAAGCCTAAAATTATTGGCCTTGGAGCAGCTCCTACGGCAATATCCTAGTATTCAAGGTAAAATAGTCCTTATTCAGATTATCAACCCGGCCAGGGGATCGGGTAAGGATGTCCAAGAAGCAAAAAAGGAGACATACTCTACCGTCAAAAGGATCAACGAGCGTTATGGTTCACCTGATTATGAGCCTGTTGTTCTGATTGATCGTCCTGTTCCCCGGTATGAGAAGTCTGCCTATTATGCACTGGCAGAATGCTGTATAGTTAATGCAGTGAGGGATGGGATGAACTTAGTTCCGTACAAGTACATTGTTTGCAGACAGGGAACTCCTTGTATGGATCAAGCCTTGGGAATTAGTGCGGATACTCCTCGAACAAGCACACTTGTCGTGTCTGAGTTCATGGGTTGTTCACCATCTCTGAGTGGTGCAATCAGGGTTAATCCATGGAATATCGATGCTGTAGCCGAGGCGTTATTTTTGGCGGTCACTATGTCTGATTTGGAGAAGCAGCTACGGCATGAAAAGCACTATAACTACGTTAGTTCGCACGATGTGGCTTACTGGGCGCGCAGCTTTTCGCAGGATTTAGAGAGGGCGTGTCGTGATCATTACAGCAAACGGTGCTGGGGAGTGGGTTGGGGTCTTGGGTTTAGGCTCGTGTCTCTTTCCCCTAATTTCAGGAAGCTGTCCACTGAAAATGTCGTTTCTGCATATAGAAGATCGAGCAGTAGGGCGATATTTCTTGACTATGATGGCACTCTAGTCCCCGAAACAGCAATTGTCAAGTCCCTGAGCCCGGAGGTTGCATCTGCATTGGAGATCCTTTGCAGTGATCCTAAAAACACTGTATTTGTTATTAGTGGGAGGGGTAGGGCATCGTTGACTGAGTGGCTTTCACCATGTGAGAATCTTGGAATAGCTTCCGAGCACGGGTATTTCATAAGGTATGCTACTAATTCGTTATCTTAAATCCGTAGTTTCTGAAGAATTTGTGACAAATGATTGGAAACAATCTTTGTGATTTCGATGCAGGTGGAGCAATTCATCTGACTGGGAGACAAGCGGGTTTTCTGAAAATCTTGAATGGAAGAAAATCGTGGAACCGATTATGAGAGTATATACAGAGACCACAGATGGATCAAATATAGAGCCGAAAGACAGTGCTCTGGTATGGCATCATCAAGATGCGGATCCAGACTTTGGTTCTTGTCAAGCCAAGGAGCTATTGAACCACCTAGAAGCCGTTCTTGTGAACGAACCCGTCGTAGTAAACAGAGGCCGCAACATTGTGGAAGTTAAGCCACAGGTAGATGACGCGTTTATGAATCGGATCCCGTTTTCACATTGCTCCGTTCCATCTTTCTGACCAGATTCTTTTGTAACGAACAGGGAGTAAGCAAAGGAGTTGTCACGGAGAAAGTTCTGAACAGGATGTCTGAAAATGGGAACCCACCGGATTTCGTGGTATGCATAGGGGATGACAGGTCGGATGAAGATATGTTCGAGAGCATCACAAGCACTCTCACGGCCCGATCCTCACCCGTTTCTTCTCCGGAGATATTCGCCTGCACGGTAGGGAGAAAGCCGAGCAAAGCAAAGTACTTCTTGGACGACGTATCCGACGTGGAGAAACTTCTTCAAGGCCTTGGTAATGCTTCGAATGCAAAGCCCAGGTACTCTACTCCCTTGAAAGTTTCCTTTGAAAGCACTGCCTGATCAATGAGGACATTATGGAAAGAGAACTATACTTGGACTGATACATTCGGTGTTTGTTTCTGTACATACAAAATTCGTAATCTCCTTTGCTTGTCAATTTGATATCTGGTAAAAAAACTGAAAGAAACCCAGGATTTAGGTCTCCATGTGAGAATGAGAGAGAGAGAGAGAGAGAAGAAGGAAAACAGTATGGACAGGTCCACACACACACACACACACACACTTATATATATATATATATATATATAGCAAGAACAAGATCTGCTGTTTTGTTGAGTCATATGTAGTTCTGTCTTGCCTGAGGATGATATTTGCATCGTTGAGTTTCTGTCCCCCTTTGGTTTGTATATGGTGTTGTGTGTAAACTACTCTCTTAATTCATCTTCTCTCTCCTCTTAAATCTCATTTTGTTTCCATCTGTTTACATGTATACATATGTGCACATATACACACATGCATGCATGTATGCATGCATATATGTATGGTGATGGTGTGTTTGGGGTTATCTCTCATTTTCTCTTCAATCCAGTAACTAATTTATAATAATTTACTTAAAGTAATTTTGTCCACTAATTTATCTTTGTAACTGTTAAATTAACGAATCTTTGAATTGTTTCAAAGCTTCAATTTGTACAATATATTTAACATATCTATAATGAAAGGCAATTTCTACTTTCGAGTATGGGTTTAAATGCCATTTTTTGGCTCATAATTCGTATATTGATCCTCGAACCGGTTGATTCGGTTATCAAAAAAATCGAACAATTGTCCGGAAAAGTATGTACTCGGCTGAGTTACAGAGCGAATGACAAATACGATACCGCATATGATTTTCAAATCTACGTGTCTCACTCTACTCTAAACCGATCTCTCTTTCTTTCCGGCAGCTTTAGACCGGTTTTTAGCATATTGGCCACAAAACCGGGTCCGGTGGGCCCAGTTCTGTCTCGTACTTATGATGGAGCGAGAGACCACTTGAAACCGGTTTTGTTATTAAGAGAATATCGCTCAAATCATACATACCGAACTATATTTTATTAGTTTTGGTTCACTTGTATTTCTTGCTTTTTTTTAATTTAATCTAGATTTTAAATGGAACTGAATCGAAAAAGGATAGGTAAATTAAAAATTAGTTAGTCTAAGTCAAATTTGGTTTATTTTCATCTCGGTTTATATATCGAACCGAACCGAACCGGAGTTTTTTTTAATCGGCTTTGAATTAATTTTGATATGTTATGTATAAGTTTTAATTATTCAGTTCGAATCCATTGGTTCCGTTTATGATAATAATTTAATTCTCCATTTCCTTCCTTGGAAAAGAAAAGGAGAAACACAGCTTTTGTTTTTCATCATCGCCAGTGAAGGAAGAGAAATCAAGTGCAAACTCTCAGATCCAAAATCTCTATCTCCGTTTCTTTGGTTGGAGAATTTCAGCTGCTCGGATCTTTGGCTTTCCGTACGGATCGTGGAGGAATCTTTTTTGATCCATTTCTCTGGGTAATCTTCGATATTGTTTGCTCTTCGGATCCGATTGAAACCCTGGATTCAGTCATGAATCCCTTCTCTTCCGGTACCCGTCTCAGGTACGAGATTTGTTGCTCCGATCGTAACTGTAATGATTCTGATTCCTTTAATTTCGCGGGTTTGTGTCTCCGTGTGTTCGGTTGAAATCAGAAGATTTCACCATTGTTATACCTCAAGCTTCTGGAACGAAATGTTGCGTGGTTCTTTTGGTTTTACGGGTGAAATGTTGTTGAAATCGAAGTTGTTCGGACAATGTAGAGAGAATTAGAAGTGATTGAGCTTCCGAGACAGCTGAAATTGACGTATTCTTTGGATGCCTTAGAATTTATCAGCCGATTTGTTCATGTAAGTGTATTCTGTTCTGTGTTCTTCAAGTGGAACTGTTAAAAGATGAGACGAGATATGATTAGGTGTCTTTTGCGAGCAAAATCATTTCAGTGATTGGACGAAAGAGTATAAGAGCATAAAAATTACAAAATTTGAACTATTAATGCACCCCAAAAGGCAAAATTTTGCTGTTTTACTTTATACTGAATTTATATTTACCAAACATAATCCGTTCTTATAGTACCATGTCCTACGTGATTCTTTGAATAGCAGAGCCAATAGCCTCTCAAAATTTCTATTATTGTACCATGCCCAGATGCAAACTGTCTAGATTTGTTTCAACTTGATCAGGAAAGATAGGTTTAGTTTGTCATCTGATGACATTTGTTGACAAATCAAATGTAGTTTTTGTTATCCTTTATTGGTTACTTTTAGGTTCCGCTTCTTAAAGTTTGCTTCAATTTTATTCAGAACTTTTTTATGAATGGAACCGTTTGTATATTCTCTCTTGTTTACCTGGTATGGAATCAGTTAATAGCCCAATCCTTTTACACTGGAATTGTAATGTGTGCAAAAATGCCATCTTGGTGCAGGGACATGATTCGAGCTATACGTGCATGTAAAACTGCGGCTGAGGAGCGTGCTGTCGTAAGGAAAGAATGTGCTGATATTCGTGCTTCAATTAATGAAAATGACCAAGATTACAGCCACCGTAATCTGGCAAAGCTTATGTTCATTCACATGCTTGGTTACCCCACACATTTTGGGCAGATGGAATGCCTAAAGTTGATTGCTTCTCCTGGATTTCCAGAGAAGAGGATTGGTTATCTAGGTTTGATGTTGCTTCTTGATGAAAGACAAGAAGTACTAATGCTGGTCACCAACTCATTGAAACAGTATCCTTCTTGATGTAGATTTTTAAGTTTAATTGCCGAAGTAGCTCTCATTTCGTTCCATGTAATTGGTTTAAGTCTTTTTTCCCCTCTCAAGCCAACTTCTTGATAAGTGGACTAGTATTTTTCGGAGTTGGGTATTTTGTAAATATAGTTGCAACTCTCCCATGTGATAGCCTTGACTCATGTCCAGAGATCTGAATCACACAAACCAATATATTGTGGGACTCGCTCTCTGTGCTTTAGGAAATATTTGTTCAGCAGAGATGGCTCGTGATCTTGCACCTGAAGTTGAAAGATTACTTCAATTTCGTGATCCAAATATACGGAAGAAAGTGAGTTCTCCTGTCCACTTTTATGTCCTTTCAGACAACTAGTGGTTTTTAAATGGTGGAGCGGCTTTGTAAAAGCATGAAAATCTTGTAAACTTCGTTAAACCTGCATAATGTTAAATAAACAAGGGTTATGCTGATAACTGTGAATTCTGTGTGGTATTGGTGGGCTTTCCAAATATCCGAAGACTGAGCATCTATAAACATACTGCACTTTATTTTCAGTTTTGTAACTGATTAATCTTCCACCGTGCAGGCAGCTCTGTGCTCTGTACGGATAATCAGGAAGGTTCCAGATCTTGCTGAGAATTTTGTTAATCCTGCTGCTGCTTTACTCAAAGAAAAGCATCATGGTGTTCTCATGACAGGAGTTCAGCTTTGCACAGAGCTCTGTAAAGTCAGCATAGAAGCCCTTGAATTTTTCCGAAAGGTAAACTGCAGACTTTCTATTAGTGGATTAAAGGAGTTTTACGTTGCCTTTAAATTTATATTTGATGCACGCCTTCTTGCTTGGAAATTCTAGAAGAAGATGTACACCAGTTTATGAATTTTTACTGCTGGAATCTTTACCATCCTTGTTTTTCTTGAGCTCTTATTTTCTTTGTGTCTTCCTTTAGATTCATGACCTTCTTGGAAATCTTGCATGGATATTTTCTGTAGCCGAAGTGATTGGAGAATTCATTTTTTTGTTGCCCTCGTTATCATGGTGAAAAATGGGCGATTTGACTGTGTTCTTCCATTTTTTCCTTTAATTGGCAGAGGTGCACAGAAGCACTAGTTAGAACCCTGAGGGATGTTGCAAATAGTCCATATTCACCCGAGTATGATGTTGCTGGAATTACTGATCCGTTTCTCCACATCAGATTGCTAAAACTATTGCGAACTTTGGGCCACGGGGATGCGGAGGCCAGTGATAATATGAATGATATACTTGCTCAGGTTAGTTCATTCTTAGTCTATCCAAAAGTTTTTCCTATGCCTATGTTGTGTTAAATGCCCAGGTTTTCCTGCTCTTCTATGTTTGCTTCCCCTATTATGGTTTTGAAATAATTTTGTTTGTCCCTCATGACTTTGGTTCTTTTTTACTCTGTAAGAGGGACAAACTACTGACTCCAGAAAAATAAATCATCCTTTTTAGCTCTAAATGGATCATGGTTTTCACTTTTCACTTTTCTTCTCCTCTAATCCAATGCTTGCAATAAGCTTTTTTTAATCTCCTTTTGTGGCATTAGCTACGACGGATCCTTTATCACGGAGAATTATTGTCTTATGAGATGCTATATATACGTCCTAGGTGGCATCAAAAACCGAGTCAAACAAAAATGCTGGCAATGCTATCCTATACGAATGTGTTCAAACGATAATGAGCATCGAAGACAATGGTGGTTTACGTGTCCTTGCGATCAATATCTTGGGAAGATTCTTATCCAATCGGGACAATAATATCAGGTTTGTATTCATTACTAATAATATTTGCTTCTGCTGCAATTTCATGGTTGATCTCCTTTTTTCTTATACATAGTAATCCTCCAAAGTTTCTATTGGTCATGATAGCTATGGATGTCGTCAATTGCCTCATTTGGGTAAACTTTGCAGTAACAGAGATTTTCTCTTGGTCATAATGGCTATGGATGTCGTCAATTGCCTCATTCATGTCAACTTTGCAGTAGCTTAGATTTTCCCTATTCAAAGGACTTAATTTCAAATATAGACCAACATGAGATGTATTCTTCATTGACTACTGGGCCTATCGAGAAATATTTTGAATCTTTTTTCTCAGATATGTAGCTCTAAACATGCTGATGAGGGCTATGACTGTTGATACACAAGCAGTTCAGAGACACAGAGCTACGATCTTGGAGTGTGTTAAGGTAATCCATCCGCCACTGTTAAGCTATGAATTCCTTGTTGGATTTACATGATTGAACCGTCAAAAGTATTATGCTTCCTCTCTTCCACAATGTCTTGCTCTTCTTGTCCCCTGCTTCTTTTGGCTTTATTGGTCATGGAATGTAAGTTTTCTTCAATAACTCCAATGTCTACATATGCTTGAATGTAATTTTTCTTCGATATCTTCAATGATAAATACACTTGCTACCGTAATACGTTGCTGTGCACCTTGAATTTTTATAGCCATATTGTTCTGTTCTGGTATATCAAAGTTCCTCCTTCTTAAATGAAAAGTCTTCCTTACTTTATTATTGTTTAGGATTCAGATGCTTCAATTCGGAAAAGGGCCCTCGAACTAATTTACCTTCTGGTAAATGAGAGTAATGTCAAGTCGCTGACAAAGGAGCTTATTGAGTATTTGGAAGTAAGTGAAGAAGAATTTAAGGGAGATCTTTCTGCGAAGATATGTTCCATAGTTGAAAAGTAAGTTGCACAGATTTATAATAAAATTGGATCTCTGTTTGATAACTAATCAATCCATATAACTATGGGAAAGTAAATTTTGGTCTGGATAAATGGAATTTGTAGTTCGCCGTTAATGGTTGAATTGGGCACTATGCAATTCTACAATTTGTGATTTCTCATTTCCAGCATATCTTATCTGGTTCTTAGCCTATTTATCTTTACTTCTTCTGTGGTGATTTAGGTTTTATCCTGAGAAAAACTGGTACATCGATCAAATGCTAAAGGTTCTATCTGAGGTATAATTTCGGATTTGGTTTTTCTGGAAGTGCTTATTTGCATCAATAGGTCATGCAGAATAGTACTGGATTCTGATAACCCAGTGTTCCTTCTCGATATGCATTTCAGTATGTTAAAACTTAATTGCTTATTTCTAGTTTTTATGCATTCACAAAATATCAAGCTCTAGGGTTCTAAGGTATAGTACACTGCAGTAGGTCTCTCGGATTAACACTTGTTTCTCTTCTTTCATCTTCTTGTGAGAGTTAAGAGTGCAGAATTGTTCATGGGCTTTATGTATCAGAAGTAAAGGGAAATATATTGCCTTAAGAAGAAACTAAAATATTGGATCAAATGTATGAAATTTCCAGAAACAAATTAAATGATGCTGAAATAGTGGGTTGCAGATGTTTTCTGATCATTTAGCCATTCCCAGTCTATATTTGAGATGGTTGGCTGGAGGCTAGTATATAATCTGTTAGAAAGAATAAGCCGGGAATGTACTATATGTCAAACCTGTGTAGATATTCAAGAAGAAAATCTCTTACCATCTTTATTAACGAATTTGAAAGGAACATTGCAGTTCTCATGTTAAGGCCTTTCTTTGCCTTTTCTTGGTTTAAACCTCTTTTAGTTGGGATCTACATGATAAGTTCTATATCATATTTAGATTTCTGACATTGATGACATCCTTTGCAGGCTGGAAATTATGTGAAAAATGACGTATGGTATGCCCTGATTGTTGTAATAACAAATGCTCCCGCTCTTCATGGATATAGTGTCAGGGCTTTATACAAAGCATTCCAGACATCTTCTGAACAGGTAGACCCCGCTATTCTTTTTATTAGACATCTTTTCAAATACGGGTATCCTGTCAATTCAGAAATTTAGGAACTTAAAGTCAAATGACAGATAAGAGGTTCACTTTGATGTTTGAGCAGGAAAATCTTGTTCGAGTTGCAGTCTGGTGTATCGGAGAATATGGTGATCTTCTGGTTACCAATACTGGAATGCTTGATTTAGAAGATACGATCACTGTGAGTAGTAATATCCTGAACCCAAGAGTTACTTTTTTACTGATATTCGAGGTGCAAAACCCTTTAAACCTTGGATTGGTGTTGTCGATGAAATATTTGCTGAAAACATCTACATGCGTTTTCGAACTTTACAAGCAAATGTTGGACGTTTCATTGATCGTTTGTGCTGTTTTCTTTTGACATTTGTTGCTTTCGTTGTTTGTTGCTCTTTTCCATCCTTGAAATACTAACCTTCAGGCAGTAAATTTTGTGTATATTTTCTCTGTTAGACACTGTGTGCTTAGACAAAATTAAAGGAAAATGAAGAAAATGATTTCAGCTTTTGTTGTCTGCACACTACAACATTTTTTTTTGTTTAATTTCTTCCCCACAATTGGGAGTGTTCATAACAATAAGATTGTGACTGAATTTCATGCTACTGATCGTTTTGTTCAATGAGAGTGATACTGTGAGTTATATTTAGTTTGCAAAGTTACTGTTTTTTTTGTTCTCATAAGATTTCCGGGAAAAATTTGCTGCTTTGTGTCATCAGGTAACAGAATCTGATGCAGTGGATGTTATAGAGATTGCAATTAAGCATCACTTGTCGGATGTCACGACTAAAACAATGGCTCTGATTGCTCTGTTAAAGCTCTCATCTCGTTTTCCTTCTTGTTCGGAGTATGCCAACCCTTCTCTAGGCTTCCTCTTCTTTATTATGACCAAGTTTCTGAACTATTATTATGCTAAATCTGCTGTTCATCACCATCTTTTACGAATTCCGTGGTCTTTCCATGTTGCTATAATCTTGTTTATAAATTAGGTAACATCGTGAAGATACCTCTCATTGATAATCAGCTTTGTTATTTCCACTTCCAGGAGGATTCAAGCTATGATGGTTCAGCACAAAGGCAGCCTTTTCTTAGAACTACAACAACGATCTTTGGAGTTCGGTTCGATTATTCAGAAGCATCAGAATATCAGGTAATTATTTTCCTTGCTCGTTTTTTTAGTAAATTCTTGACAAAGGGCCCTGAATTATTCAAGACAACCGAATAAAATTCTTGCAGACCTTCATTGGTCGAAAGAATGCCTGTCCTGGACGAGGCAACATTCAGTGGAAGGAGAGGCGGTTCTTTACCGACGTCTGTATCGACCTCAGGAAAAGCATCGCTCAATATTCCAAATGGGATTGCTAAAACAGTTGCAGCTCCTCTCGTCGATTTACTCGACCTGAGTTCCGATGATACTCCTGCCCCTACTTCCTCTTCCACTGCCAACCTCCTTCAAGATCTTCTCGGTGTCGATTCAACACTTTCTTCAGCAGAGCCTGGTTAGATTTCCTAACTTATAATAATTTCCCGCTCCACTATAAAGAAAAACAAATATAATTATTCAGGGTATAGACGGAAACCGAACCAATCTATTGTATCGACCGAATATACAGAGTGGAGATATAACATGATATTATTACCGAATCTTTCTGATTCTTTGTTTTTCTTACTGAACTTTTTTAGTTTCAGGTAATACAATGCAGCCATCGAAAGCTGGTGCAGATATTCTTTTGGATTTGTTGTCGATTGGAACTCCTGCCCCTTTGCAAAATGGCTCAAACTCGATGAACGGAGACTTACTATCCACTCAAGTTAACAAATCGCCGGTTTCTTCATTAGATACAATTTCATTACCTTCTTCAGTGTCTGTTCAACCTTCTCTGGGTCCACCTTCTTCAATGATGGATTTATTGGATGGATTTGGCCTCACCCCACCAGAGAGCGGTAAGAAAACACACTTTTAATTTAACATCAAGACGTTACTTCAGTATGCTTTTTTCTCTCTTTCTGCCAATGTGACAGCTTTTCTTCTCTCCAGTGACAGAGGAAAAAGGCTCGGAATATCCACCTGTTGTTGCATTTGAGAGCGGTTCCTTGAAGAT